CCCCCAAGATCAGAAGAGTATTTCCAAACCACTTCCTGACAGTGGACATTTGGGACTTGAACAGAGCCAGTCCGAAGGATGACTTTCAACTACTACACATTAATGAGTTAGAGGACTTCACTGCGGGCCATGCATTGCTATCCTTTATGGATGGGTTTTCCGAGTATAACCAGATTCTGATAGCGCCCAAGGACAGAGAGAAGACCGTATTTACCACACCGTGGGGTACCTACTGCTTCTAGGTTATTCCATTTGGGTTGAAAAATGCTGGAGCTACCTATCAGAGGGCTACGACCACCACTCTACATGACATGATCCACAAAGAGGTCGAGCTGTACGTGGACGACATGATTGTCAAATCCAAAAAAAGATGGGGCCATTACACAACCTTGAAGAAATTCTTTCAACGAATCAAAGAATATAGATTGAGGTTAAACCCGCAGAAATGCACCTTCGGCGTAACGGCGGGGAAAATGTTGAGCTTTCTGATCACACAGAGGGGCATCAAAGTAGATCTTTCCAAAATTAAGGCCATCCTAGAAATGCCACCACCAAGGACTAAAAAGGAGGTGTGAGGCTTTCTGGGTAAAGTGTAATTCATAAGACGGTTTATTTCCAAATTAACCTTCACTTGTAAACCACTATTTGGTCTCCTGAAGAAAGAGAAGAAATTCTGATGGGATGATCGATGTCAATTTGCCTTTAAGCAAGTTAAGCCGTACCTCCAAAATCCGCCTGTGTTATCACCACCAGAGTTGGGAAAGCCTTTGATTCTATATTTGTCAATAACAGACATGACCATGGAATGCGCGCTCGCTCAGGAATCTGAAGATAAGATGGAGAAAACAATCTACTACTTGAGCAAGAAAATGCTAGATTATGAGACCCACTATACTCTGTTGGAGAAAGCTTTCTTAGCCTTGGTATGGACTGCTAGGAAGTTGAGGCACTGCTTCTTAGGTCACTCTGTAATCCTGGTTTCGAGATTAGACCCCATCAAATATCTCTTTGAGAATCTAGTACTTACACGTAGGCTAGCCCATTGGTTGCTTCTCCTCTCCGAATTTGATCTCAAATATGTCACCTACAAGTCGCTCAAGAGAAGAGCTGTAGTGGAGTTCCTGGCAGATCACCTGGTAGAAGGAGATGAGGCAGTGGAATACTTGGTCCCAGATGAAGCCATTCTATAAGTTAAGGAGAAAACTTGGACGATGTACTTTGACAGTGCGTCCAATCAGTACGGTTATGGGATAGGTGTGTTGCTGATAGCACCCGATGATTCCTAGATACCATTAGCTTTCAAACTTCGGTTCAAGGTGTCCAATAATGAAGCAGAATATGAGGGGTGTATTGCTAGTTTAGAAGCTGCCCTGGAACTAGGGGTAATAAGATTAGATATTATCGGGGACTCAAACTTAGTTGTTTCTCAAGCAAATGAAGGCTGGAAAGTCAAAGAAGAAAAGATGAAGGTTTATCACTAGACCCTAGATGTTCTGATTCCTAGGTTTGAAAAGCTGACTTTCACGCATCTACTAAGAGAGAATAGCAGGTTCACTGATGCTCTAGCATCTCTATCTTCAATGGTAGACATCGCACATGGAGTCCAGATGCATCCGATTATCATTGAGCAGAAATACATGTTGGCTTATGAAACTATTGCCGCGATAGATGAAGTGCATGACAAAAACCCCTGGTACTATGATATTGGAACTTCTTGGAAAATGAGATTTATCCATCAGGGGCAAATGCCAAGGACAAAAGGGAAATACGGTGAATGCCATCCAATTTATCATTTGCAGAAGTAAATTGTATAAAAGAAGTCATCTGGGAATGCACAAGTTGTGTGTCAAAGAAAAGGAATCAAAGCGCCTGATGGAGGCCATCCATAGAAGAGAGTGCGAGGCACACATGAATGGAGTGATGCTAGACTGGAAGATTCTCAGGTAAGGTTACTACTGGTCCATCATGGAGAAAGATTGTATTGGTTTTGTTCGGCAATACCACAAATGCCAAATTCATGCCAATCGCATGAATATCCCGCAGTCAAAACTGTACTATATGACTTTGCCATGGCCTTTCTCAGTCTAGGGAATCAACGTCATCGATGTAGTCATGCCCAAAACATTGAATAGGCATGAATGTATCTTGGTGGCAATTGATGGCTATTGATTACTTTATAATGTGGGTGCAAGATCAATCTTTGAAAGCATCGCATGTGGCCAAGTTCATCAGAAACAACATCATTTGCCGGTACGGAGTCCCAATTGGACAGGTCCTTACATCATCAAAGCTATCTGGTTGAGTGGAGCAATTATTCTCATGGACTTAGATGGCCTGGAATTTTCACAATCGATCAATATGGACAAGTTGAAGAAATACTATCCCTGAGAGGCTCACTAGGCCAAAAACGAGGAATGGGGACGTAGGCAAAAATTAGAGCATGAAAAATTAGAAATAAAGAAAAACTGAGCTCGCATGGTTGAAAACCCTAAAGGGCGACTTCAGCAAAAGTTAGAGCACAAAAGGAGAGAGTTAATATTCGAGTGAACTTGAACTGAACTATGTAAGGCCTGATTCCCATTTTCGGGATACGTAGGCAACTTCATCCTAAAGTTTGGCCGCAATCACCTTCAACTCCACTGTCCTGTCCATATGTTTGATTAGGTCATCTTTATCCATCACCTGAGAGTTCAGTTGTGATCTTCATTTTGGGAAGAAGAGTTGGTTACAAGGCAGAGCAGTGGTGTTCAATCAAGGGGCAGTTTATGATCTTTTGATTTAGGGTTGTACATCTTGAGGATTGATTCTGTGTGTGTCAGGTGGTGATCCTTTTCGAAAATGGTTTTGGAAAGTTTTAATAAAAGTTGATATTGTTTAAAATTTTACCTTTTTCAACTTAGATCATTTTTGGACCAAAAGGAAAATTTTTAGTGCTCACAACTTTAATTTCATTGATTTCAACATAAAGTTCTCCAACTCTTTGATACAAATCAAAGTTGCTTTTATTACATCATAAAACTTGAAAAGAAAGGTCAAAGCAATAAACTAGGGGCATAGATGAGTCAAGTGCTCCTGTGTCCTCTGCCCATGCTTGTGGAAGCTTCTGAAGCCAAAGTCGGCCCGATTTGGGCCTCATCCTCGAGCCAAGCCAAGAACTCGCCAACAAGGGCACAACTGAAACTAGGAGCAGGGGCCAGAAGTTCCCTCATCCTCCAAGCAGCAAGGTACCTAGCCAAGTGTGAACCACGGATAGGGAATGAAATCGGGTACCCCCTCCTCTAGGCGGGTCTGATCATGCCTGAACTGATGTCTGAACCAGAAAGAAAAGTAGAACACGTAGTGCGTAAGGCCAATCAATTGTATACCAGGTTACTGAACTTTGTTGTAACTCATCTCGGTCAGATTAAGCCAACGGCAACGCCAAGCTATGTCAGCAGTAGACCTGCTCCACATCCAGTTGCACCACCATCCCTTGTTGGGGAAATCCACTAGTCGGTGGCGGCAGAAATAACCTCAAGCTAAGTACTCAGGGCAAGAGTCCACTACCTTTAGCTTATCCATAAGCCATACATGGGAGGGCATAAAAAATAAGAGAGATTAAAGAATAGAGAGATGTATGTTGAGAGAAAAGTAAGAAAAAAAGGCTTTGAAAGAAAAATAGAGCATGAGTGTCAAGTGATGTGAGAAACAAATATGAGAAATGATGGGAAATAATACCTAAAGAAGTAGCGGACTTCCCGCGATCCTAATCGTCTCTCACCGATGAAAAGCATCTAAGCCCATTATAGTCTTGGCCAGTGCCAAACCAATGCAACTCTTTCCTTCTTTTAAACCTTAGGCCACTTCAATCAACAGAATGTTAGATCTGCCAAAACTAGGGGCAAAAAGGACATGAGCAAGCATACATGAGTAGAGAGCATGCTGTGGAAAACCTCACCAGAGAAGGTCGCCTTTGTCACCAATGTCAAAAAATTGATGAATCAAGCTGGGTATGTCTAGCTCTCTGTTGTGGACCAGTTCCCGAGCCTCGTGTAGAGTGAGCCCACACATCCGTTCCAAAGCTTGGGCATAGCCAAAATGGGGCTAAGGCATGATTTTCTCATCGCGCTGGGATTCCATTAGTATCTGAAATTTTTCAAGTGCCGGGCATATTTCTTGTGCTCCGAAGAGAAAGACATGTGTAATTGGGTCCCAGCATCAGGCCGCGGCATGGAGGAATAGAAAACAAAATGGAGTACGGCTCAATGAAAAAAGTGCATTTATGCCGAAACCCCAATAATTACCTTTTCTGTGCCGTCTAAAGTAGCTATCCAATCAGTGAGTTTCTCTATAAGAAATATCTCCATTTGTGGAAGAAATCACAGCTGAAATGAGGTTCTGGAGAAGAAATCATGAAGCAAAACCTTTGTAGAAGATAAGGTTGTGAGTGGAAGCCAGCTGTCAACAATCTAGAGATTACTCACACTGGTGGCTGGCAAACCACTAATGCTGGCTAGCAGGCTACTTTGGGGGCTGGCAGGCTACCTCCTCTGGCCGACAACCTCCATTCTTGGTCGGTAGTTCTCCTTTCTGGTCTGCCGTCCACCTGTATGCTGGGCAACGTTGGCAGCATGTGTTTTGTCTCAACCTTTAAGTGTTTTAAGGTCTTGTTTTGAGTCCTTTGGTTTTAGCAAGTTTGTTTATTTGTATTCGAGTTGTTTTTGCTTTGTTTATCGAGTTGTATTTAGTATTTTGGTTGTTGGTTGGCTCCTTAGCCGATTAAGAACATTGTTTCAATCCAGCACTCTCTTGGCAAATTCAATTCCATTTCCATTTCATGCAAATGTGGTGCTTGTGATGCAAAAATGACAACATATTTCATAAAAACTGTGAGATTTTATTCTGATCATGGTTTTTACAAAAGAGGCGTATAAGTTTCAAAAGCAAATAAGACATATCTGAAGCTATACATGTGCTTATGCTACCAAACAAAAAGAAACTAAACAAAAAGTACCAAAACATCAGTGCCGGTCATCCCAAGCTCGAGAGGCCCTCTTCATCCTCTTCCTCGGAGGAGACTCGAGAGCACTATCTCCATCAGCACCGCTGTCAGAATCAGACTCTGAACCAGAGCCGGTATCATCTTCGTTCCCTGCCTCAGAGCCCGTCTCGATATCACCTCCGCTCTTGGACCCCGAGCCAGCATCATCATCTCCACTCTCGGATAATTTCGAATGTCGACTCACTGCCTTCTCGGAGTCACTAGTCTCAGCATCATCGTCGCTCAAAATGGGCTCTAAGGGACTGCTCTGGCCTTGGATGCCCCTATCCCTGCCTCAACTGTGGCTCACATCTTGGCCACAAGCTGGGGGCTGTCTCTCTCTTCTCCCTGCTATTGGAGGAGGTGCTACCAGTGCCGGTGTTGATGCTACTGCTGTCGCTGGTGTCCTCGGCACAGATGGAATCTGGGAAAAAACACAGCTGAAATGAGGTTCTGGAGAAGAAATCATGAAGCAAAACCTTTGTAGAAGATAAGGTTGTGAGTGGAAGCCAGCTGTCAACAATCTAGAGATTACTCACACTGGTGGCTGGCAAACCACTAATGCTGGCTAGCAGGCTACTTTGGGGGCTGGCAGGCTACCTCCTCTGGCCGACAACCTCCATTCTTGGTCGGTAGTTCTCCTTTCTGGTCTGCCGTCCACCTGTATGCTGGGCAACGTTGGCAGCATGTGTTTTGTCTCAACCTTTAAGTGTTTTAAGGTCTTGTTTTGAGTCCTTTGGTTTTAGCAAGTTTGTTTATTTGTATTCGAGTTGTTTTTGCTTTGTTTATCAAGTTGTATTTAGTATTTTGGTTGTTGGTTGGCTCCTTAGCCGATTAAGAACATTGTTTCAATCAAGCGCTCTCTTGGCAAATTCAATTCCATTTCCATTTCATGCAAATGTGGTGCTTGTGATGCAAAAATGACAACATATTTCATAAAAACTGCGAGATTTTATTCTAATCATGGTTTTTACAAAAGAGGCGTATAAGTTTCAAAAGCAAATAAAGCATATCTGAAGCTATACATGTGCTTATGCTACCAAACAAAAAGAAACTAAACAAAAAGTACCAAAACATCAGCGCCGGTCATCTCAAGCTCGAGAGGCCCTCTTCATCCTCCTCCTCAGAGGAGACTCGAGAGCACTATCTCCATCAGCACCGCTATCAGAATTCGACTCTAAACCAGAGCCGGTATAATCTCTGCTTCTAGTCTCAGAGCTAGCCTCGGCGTCACCTCCGCTCTCGGATCCTGAGCCAGTATTATCTTCACTCTCGGATGACTCAGAATGCCGACTCACTACCTCATCGGAGTCACTAGTCTCAGCATCATCATTGCTCAAAATGGGCTCTAAAGGACTACTCTGGCCTTGGGTGCCTCTATCTCTGCCTCGGCCGCGGCTCACATCTTGGCCACGAGCTGAGGCCTGTCTCTCTCTCCTCCCTGCTGCTGGAGGAGGTTCTACCGGTGCTGGTGGTGCTGCTACCGCTGGTGCCATCGGTGTAGATGGAATTTGAAAAAAATAGTTGTCAACATATCAGTTACAGTGTGTGTATCAGATACATGCATAGTATGTAGAATAAGTGTCATGCAGAAATCAGATACAATATGAGTGCAGTATGTGAATGTAGTGTGCCAATAAAGTGTATCAGTGCAGTTTGGGAAAGACTACGGTTGAAATACCGATGTATCAGTGGAAATATGATAGTGTGATGCATAAACAAAGTTAATAATGAAATGCATGTTGAACTAAAGGAAATTACCTAGATACCGTGGACACCAAGCAGCATCTCCCTCATCTGTACCATATCGATCAGAGAAGCCACCAGCTCGAGAAGGCTCCCAGTATACTCTATAGATGCTTGCAAGTGCGATTGGGTGATCAATATCTAGAATAAACATATTTGAAATGGAAATGTGGGGGTGCAAATTGTAAAGTGTGGTCTATACCTGGGACGAGCCTCAAACTCTGACATACTCGTGTCCTGTCTCTGCCGGCTCGATCGGAATCTAGTAAGCAGTCCCAGTCGGCCGCCAGCATATGAGCACAGTGGGAAGCTCCAGCCAATAGATAGTCTACTCAATGAGAGGAGCCCCTCTAGTATGGGTCCTAGTCATCCGAGTCGCCTCACCCGCCATAGGAGCCCCTGCTCCCTCGCCTGCATGAGCGCTCATCAGAGGAGGCATAAGGCGGGTCTGAATAAACGTCGTGTAATCGCCCTCTCCTCTGAAGAAGTCAGCTTCCAGGCCTACTATGAACTGTATGACTGCATCAATTGATAGGCTATCTGTTGTCCTCATAGACTCTAGGAGGGGCATCGGAATGATTGGATCAGGTAAGCCCACAGTCTGGTGTACGAACCTCTCTCTCAAAAACCAAGTTTGGCAGACTAGGCCCTCCAGCAAAATTCAGAAGCGTGAGGTGCTCCAAGCTCCCGTATACTGGTCTCTCACCCCGACTAGCATCATGGCCTAAGGCTGTCATGCGATCTGCAAACAAAGAATGTACAAATTGTTAGTTGCGGTCAGTTACCAAGGTATGAATCAGAGTAGTGTTAAAGCAAAAATGACTGAGTTTTGGGTTACCTCGACGGCAACCACTGTATCAATGTAATGGCGAATGAATGCAAAAGTCTCACGACTCCAGCGCCGACATCAACCATCGTATCGTCTCGTGTAGAGAACAATAAGGAGGAGATCCTCCATAGGCTCTGGAGTGAGGGCTGGAAAATATGCATAAACCCATAACTACAAGGAAAGCACACATCATGAATAAATATAGAAAGTGCAAAGCAGAAAGCACAAAGCATGAACAGATATAGAAAGTGCAAAACAAAAAGCATAGGTATTGAATAGATATAAGGCAGAGAATGTGAAGTAGAAAGTGTAAACTGCAAAGAGGGAACCGAAATGCATACGTCCCAAGCTCGCTAGTAGCCTCCAATCCGCTCTCCCCTCAGGTAGGAGATAGAGCTCATATAGTCATAAAGGTTGGAGAGGCCAGCTCCGCCCCAATCATAAAATCGCACCCGGGGAAGGGTCACTAGCACACTCAACAAATATAAACCCACGTTGTTCCATCTATTCAAAAACAAGGTGGTACCGAGGACAAACATTAGGAAGCACCGGGCGTACTGCTCCACTCCTCCAATGTCTCAGGCTCGCTCTTACGGAACTGTTCGGCAAACCAACTGTATCACACCATGGTCAGTTGGTACAGAGGTGGGCGCGCTCTCAATAGGTGGATCTAAACAGCTTCACTCGCTCATGTCTGTGTCAAAAGGGATCGGATCACCCTCCACTCCTAAGCCTGTGATCATGGCGAAATCATAGGGAGTCATTGTCATCTCCCCGGCAATAAAGAGGTAGAAGGAGTTAGTGGTGTCCCACCACCTCTCCACTAGCGCTCCTAGAATAGGGTGGCTCGCTATGATGCGTGTCAGTTCAGAGCAGAAAAGGCCGAAGCCAGATTCATCGACAGTGTCACAGACCCCAACAGGGAGCTCATCATACCAGTCCCTCGCAGTCCTTCCTCCGTACCCCTGTAGGCACGGGAATCTCCCTGTGGCAGAGAAAAAGAGTAAATCAAACAGTGATAAAGGAACAATGAGATAAAAGGCAATGCAAGAAATGCAGTTAAAGGAAAGATAGGAATGCATGAAAACAGAGTTCATACCTCAATAGCACTGGAAGAAAGGTGGGAGTCCGGCTCCCTCAACAGGAGGTCCTATCGTACGCCGCGAGTAAAATCGCCGAAACGCCTGATGCCGCCAAGTGGTAATATGTGTGTGCGAGGATGATATGTTGCGGGATCGAAGGGCCACACTCTCAATGGTAATGGCTCTAGCTCAAACTCTAGCGTGAACTCTACCTCAAGGCCAGCCTCAATGCCCTCTGCTGCCCTACCAACCTCAGTAACTGTTGGCTCCTCTACCTCGGTAACGACTGGAAACACATGTGGAACCTCGGGAGGAGCTCGATCATGAGGAATCTCATCCGCCATCTGGAAAATGGGTGAAAGGTAGGTGAAAAGTGAAGAAAAGAGGGTAAACTTGGAAAAAGTCAACCCTATGAGAGAGAAAATGGGAGAAAACTCAAAACCCGTGAAAGTTCTCGAAACTCAAGAAAACCTCAAGGGGGAACAAGCCTAAAGTGGTGAAATGAAAAAAACAGTGACGAAATCAAAATCTAATCGGTTCAAAATGTAGACAACTAAGAGGGTTTTACGAAAAAAGTTTGAGTGGGGCATTGGAAAACGTGTATAAAGCACAGATCTAGAGAGAGAAAGTACCTAGAGAGAGAGGGAGAGCTATTTGGGCCTTGTGGGTGTGAGGAAATGAAGCCTTGAGGTGTATATTTAAAGACCAAAAGCAAAAAGACTTATTTGCCCCAAAACTGCCACAGGTGGCCGGCAGGCCACCTTTGGTGACCGGCAAGGTTTTCTGGTGGCCGGCATGTGGCCAATGGTTTCTCCTGATGGTCGGCAGGTGGCCGATGGCTCTCAGTTAGGTCTTGATGCTATTCTGTGCTTCTGTTTCCTGAGTAGTGTATGGAAGGTTCTGTTTTGAAAGCTTGCAGTTACATTTCGGTGTGTGAACGTGTCCCACTTGCTACAATGAATGAGGTGTATCCTTTTGAACATGTTGCAATTCCACCGAGAGGTAAATCGGAGGTTGTCACCGGATATCGTTTTTATTCGTTTTGTCAAATTATGTCTTTGTTCTCTTCTAGTGCATAGAATGTGCATTTTCACATATACGTATGTTGCATACATGTCTTACATCATTTATGATTCGTGCATAGAACATACTATCAATTTTGCATAAAATGTGCTCTTGATTCATGCATAGAGTATGCTTTTGTTTCTTGCATAGAACATGCCTTTAAATCAACATCATACGTTGGTTGTCTATTTTGCATGGAACATATGTTATCATGGTATTAATTTGTAATCACGTTCACTTGGTGCATCTATCGCACACGTTCACGTTCTGTATTTATCGCGCTTGTTCATTTTATGCATTCACTTTGTGCATCTATCACACATGTTCATTGTATGCATCTATCAAGCAGCTCTCTGTTTTATCTCGGGACACGTGAAGCTTGAACCCGAGTAGTTTCTCTTTTATCTCAAGACGCATGAAGTGCGGCCCTGAGCGTGTTTTATCTTGGGATGCATAAAGCGCGACCCCGAGCAGTTTCTCTTTTATCTCGGGGCACGTGAAGCGTGAGCCTGAGCGATTTTTCTTATTTTTCAAGACGCATGAAGTGCAACCTTGGGCGTATTTTATCTCGGGACACATGAAGCGTAACCTTGAGTTGTTTCTCTTTTATCTCGAGACACGTGAAGCGCGAGCCCGAGCGGTTTCTATTGTTTCTCCGGACACGTGAAGCGTAGCCCTAGGCGTGCTTTATCTCAGGACACATGAAACGCGAGCCAGAGCGGTTTCTCTTATTTATCAGGACGCGTGAAGCGTGGCCCAGGGCGTGTTTTATCTTGGGACGCGTGAAGCGTGAGCCTGAGCGATTTCTCTTGTTTCTCAGGATGCTTGAAGCATGACCCTGGGCATGTTTTATCTTGGGATGCGTGAAGCGCGAGCCTGAGCAGTTTCTCTTGTTTCTTAGAGCGCATAAAGTGTGGCCCTGGGCATGTTTTATCTCGGGATGCGTTAAATGCGAGCCTGAGCGATTTCTCTTATTTCTCAGGACGCGTGAAGCGTGAGCCCGAGCAGTTTCTTTTGTTTCTCAAGACACGTGAAGCGTGGCCCTAGGCGTGTTTCATCTCAGGACGTGTAAAACCCAACCCCGAACGATTGTCTTTTCTCAATTTCTCAGGATGTGTGAAGCACAACCTTGAGCGATTTTTATCTCGGGATGTGAGAAATGCAATCCCGAGTGATTTTCGTTTCTCAGTTTCTCAGTTTCTCAAGATGCACGAAATGCAACCCTGAGCACTGCTTTCTTTCTTTGTCTCGCTTTTTCGCGTAGTTAGAGTGTGTTTTTGATGTTTTTGTAGGGAACCTGTGTTGGTTTTAAGCTTAAAGTTGCTCATTCATATGTTGTTATCATGTTATTTCTTATTGCATCTATTATTGCTTATTGCATCATCTTGCATGATCATGAGTTTTCAAAATAGCCGGCTTCACGAGCTGTGGGGGCCGAGAAGAGGGAGTCGTAGAGATTTTGGGTAGTCGAATCTCGGAGAGTCGAGACTCGAAGCACTCGGCAATTGGCTCACAAGCTCAAATCCAACCCTATTTGGCCAAATAACCAATTAGGCAAGGGGCCGAGTGAAGGTCGGTCTATTATAAAATGTGCCGAATATAAGTTGGAAATGGACCTAATCCCGAGGCCCATGGAAGAAAAGATATAAATAGAAGAACATCAGCCAGAAAGAGGTATGTGAGAATTGTGGTGTTAAACTTAAAATACAAGCATTCTTGAGTGTGGAGACTGACTTATCCGTCGGAGTGCTATTTCCGGCACCCCCGACCGGAG